TTCTTATTTTCTTTGGTACATTTCAAGCAAATAATCTTTCAACCCAGAAACTAGCCTATCGGTTAATGAAAACTTACTGCAGGACATTCTGAAGGAATACAATACATAAGGAAGAAATATTATACAAAATAGATATACAATTATAGTAATGACATGACATTATAAAAAAAAAACTATAGAAAATAGTGATGGGCTATTGATTAATGCTAAGGAAATAAAAATGATAAAGAAAAGATAAATAAAACATAAAAATACATTTGATATGAACAATTTCTAAAGAAATAAACATTAGATGAAATAACTTGAACAAATTTTTGAAACATTAACAAAGGAAAATGTTTTTTTTAATTTATAAGTAGATAAACCACTCATTAATAACAAATGGACTTGTATAACCCTAACCTAATTTGAAAATTATTTTTTTCAACTGTGATTATTTTATTTGCTTTTTAAAGGGACATGATATAGGGCATCATTTTGAAATACTCAATGGAATGACCAGCTTTGTGGAAGTGCCAAGCTACAGGCTTATCTTGATCTATATCTGAAATGCTATGTTAAGTGTTTTCATGTGCTTTCAGCAATCATATAATTGATTCCTTCTATGTAAATTTAGTCATAGTTGTAACAAATAATATAATAAACATTTAGATGTTCAGATTAATTGGCTATTAACAGAATAGGCTGAATTAAGGTCCTTGACAGACGTAAGTCATTGTTGAACTTGCTTGTCTCTCAGTCATCAGTGCTGGTACATCTAAAGTGATCTTGCTTTCATCTGACTTTTCCAAGGTTGAAAGGTGCTGCTTGTACCCCTGTGATTGTAGGACTAGCCCAAAAACCAGTGCAGAGAGGTCCCCTATATCAGATACATAAATGAGAAATGCATCTTTATCCTTAGTTACCTCTGAATTGAATATCAGGCAAGCTCCTGGAATCTTGAAGTTGGCCTTGAATGTGTGTTCTTCATTGAGGAGGAAGTCCTGGGCATACTGTCACTTATCATTGAAAATATAACCTTCTCCTGCAATATGTTGAAAAATAAACAAAGCTTCAGCACACAATATTCAATAAAAATAAATACCAATAAATAATTTAAGACAAGATGGCCAGCTTGTTCCAGAACTTGATCTTGGATAGTAAAAGTCCTGATTTAAAATGTGTGGTTAATGGATGAATTCAATTAAGGGAAGAAGCCAGTTAGGTTTGTAAGTGGAAAAGGTGGTCACAACTGCCTATTAATAACCATTACTCCTCTGTAAAAATTGCCTTTTGAGGCAGAATAATTAATAGATTATCTCAGTCAAACTACATTTCTAGAGGTTTCAGATGTTCTCATGCTCTAATCACCCACAGAACATGTTTCTTTGGCCTCTGTAAACTGATTAGTTCACAGGCCTCATTGGGTCTCTGATTGACTAATATCTTTTTAATTGTGCTGCTTTCTGTTATTTTTATTATGACAATGGCCAACATGCTTACCCTTCAATCCATGTCCATTCCTTCCAGTGCTGTCTGATTGTTTTATAAACAGTGCCTGGTTCCAGGAGGAAAGGAATGGGATCAAGACAACAAAACTGGATCATAAACATGTAATTAAAATACATTATTTAATTGCTGTAGTGCATGTTGGTGTATAAAAGACATTTGAATACAAGAAATAAATGACCTTAAAACACCATATTTGACCATTTTGAAGCTTTCTGCTGTCAGTTATGGGTTGTGTTTTGGTGGAACATTTCTGAAGAAGCTGTAAAGTGAAACATTGTATGTCTAATTAAATAAATATAATAAATTTGGTTTTTTAAGGTCGTTTATTTCTAGTATTAAAATGTAAAAAAAATAATGACCTATATCTTCAGAACATATATTTATTAGATCAATCAAAATATTATAGATTGATAATCCAGTTGAACCTAGTCATTATTTTATTTTACTTACGTTAAGCAAAGTTAAGAATAATGGATCCTATACACATATACTAGCTTGAATAAAGTGACATTAGCCTTCACTTTTGACCTTTAGGATGAACCAAACATTTTCATTGTCATTCTTTATGGAGATTTGGCCACTTACAAGTTTAGTACTACCTATGGTGCAGTTTACAAAGTTTCATTACTTGAGTGTTACTTTCTGCCTTCCTCTAGTAGATTTACAACGTATATTTTCAGGCATCATATACTACAATTTGTGCTTAAACAAGGTTAAGAAAATATTTAGAAAACTGTTTTTCTAAATATTTCAACCTGTATTATTGAAAATATTCCATCACAACCAGATAAAACACTCAGTTCACTAATTATTTATTATGATATTTAAGCTACTGTTTGTGAATTTCATATACTACTGCTACTTTGTTCTACTCAAAAATTTTGATTCAAAACAGTTGAAATACCATACATTATTCTTACAATAAAACAACAGGAAAAACTGTGTTTCCTCTCAGACATAGTGTGAATCTGTCCATTACTCTTCTTTCCATAAAAATTCACTGCATGCCAAATATTTCAGTGTTGAAATTGAAATATTTTCTCAGGAGTATAAATAGAAATAACAGACATACTATCAATCAATATGTTTGAAAGAAATCAAAGTTTGGTAATAAAAAGGATTATGACACTTATAACAAAGAACATAAATTATTTTAAAAGGGGGCACAGATTTTGTCTTCAGTATGTAAAGCAAAATATCAACAATTTTTATCAATCCTTGGACATCATGAAAATTATTATGTTACATTTAAGCCAAAAATATGTGTGGAAAATGAGTAAGAGGAAACGTTAGAACAAGAAAATATAAAAAAAAAATTTGGAGTAACATCAATAATTGTTAAATGTAGCATTTTAATTTTAATGATGTCCAAGGATTGATGTATTGTTGATATTTTGCTTTAGATACTGAAGATGGAATCTGTATCCCTTTTTAAATAAACAATGTTGTTCATCATAAGTGTCATAACAGGCATACTGCTATCACAGTTAACATCATATTGCAAAGTCGTAACATCTAGATCAAATCATTTGTTTTATACAACACTCAGGAATGACTATGAAATGTTTCTACATGCATGTGGGACCACACCAGTTTATTTATTTAGACATGAATATTTCCAAATACATTAACCTCCATTAAACAGCATCTTTGACACTAGCAGCGTTCAACATACACCCATTCAAATTACTTCTTAACTGTCTCAGATTACTTCCCTAAACTTCTGTCTGATAGTTACCTTTACTTGTTCTTTAGCAGCCTGTTCACTCATGCATCTTCCCACTCTTAACATATTTGTGTACATGTCATTTTTCCATGTTAATTGTTCTTGTTACTTAATATAATAATAGTGATGTTGGTATAGTAGTTTTTAAATTTCTTTATTTTTAAACTTGCACTTTCAGATAAAATTTGTGTTCCTATAGTCATATTTGTGCACCCCCCCATTGCCTCTCTATACCTTCCCTTGGGGGGTAAGCCCCTTGTTTTTGCACAATGGGTCTAAATCACTACTTGTAATTTTCAGAAATAAGTGAATTCAAATCCTACATCTTACACTCATTGCTTTGAGACCAATGCTTTTATCAATCTGAGCATGACTTCAAATCCAGATAAATTACTTATCACCTATTTCATTACAAACTGACCCGTACACAAGGTATGCATGTATGTATAAATTTTCACATACTTGAAATAGCATACATCCAATATTACAAGCTAGGGAATGGAAAAATTCTAGAAATTCTTGAAAAAGTGAACACTAGCTGCTTATTCAGAGAATTATACTTACATACTGTCACTAATTTCATAGCTAAGCATAATACTGCTACACATAAACCACTGTATACTTCTGCCTAACAGTAGTGAGTAATTTCTTAATACGGATTGTGTAAATTTAGTTCATGTAACAAAAAGATAAATGTTTCTGAAAAAAAAAATATGTTTACATATGTATGTTACTTTGATAAAATCAGGCAAAGTAATATAATCAAGGGAAGTCAAGTATATAAATTAACATCTATATCAAACACGCATGATATAGTTTAGTAGTAAGCAGCCAAAGTAACTAACTAAATTCAAACCTTTAGGACTTATAAAAAGTTATATTTTGATACATAAATGTTTCTACTGACATATTTATCTAAAAATATTGGAACATGAAAAGTGAAAAATACACCAACTTGGAGCATACTAATTTAACTAACCTAAATTTTCCACAGAAATGAAACTTCATGCTCAAAAAAAAACCTTATTTTTGAAAAGTAAATAATTTTTGAGTAACAAAATACTTTAACATAACTTACTTGAAATTGTTTTATAATGAAATTGTAAATTTATAACTTCAAAACTGAAACTGTTTTACTTACAATTTTGAAACTTAACCTATGGTACTTATATCCAAGTTCAAATACTGTGTATTGTTTTTAGTGAAAGACCTTCCAATGATTACTTCTGTTTGATAAAGAAGTTTAGCGGCTTTAAGAAAACCAAGAAAATTTGAGTAAAACAGTACTCCCAACATAGGCACAAATACTGTGCATTGTTTTTAGTGAAGGACCTTCCAATGATTATTTCTGTTTGATAAAGAAGTTTAGCGGCTTTAAGAAAACCAAGAAAATTTGAGTAAAACAGTACTCCCAACATAGGCACAAATAATGGGCAAATCTTTATTCTAGTCTCCCTTATTAATGTTTTCATGAGTGAAAAATTTCTTTTATAGGCTCATCTTTTCTCCTGTGAGCTGATTGTCAGGTTCCCAAATTTTTACCTTCAAATGTATACTGTTTTCTATCTGTGACACTGCAAAGTGGCCAAAGGACTATGGCCACATTGTATTTAACCAAATTTTTCAGAATTTTTCTTTAAATTACTGTAAAGAAGTGTTTCTGCCTGTTGAATTTGTAGAATATATAACACCATTTAATTATGACCTAACAACTAAACTTAATGATTAAAAATATGAGAAGGTATTATATGAAGTTATTTGCTTACATATATTTCTCTTATAGATCATTGAGTTGTTAAACATTATTGAAACATATTCCGTGTTGAGCCATTCCCACATCGAGGGCATTCAGTCTATAGCTGCCAAGTTTTTACACATATGCTCTGCCATAAAAAACAAAGTATATGATAATCTTGATCCAAGAAAACTAGATTTTGATAATGATTTTGAAGAATTTAAGCAACAAGTAGCTGATTTGCAGGTGAGCATGCTATAAACGTTTTATTTAAAAAAGTTGATAATGTATAACATATTAATGTTTTAAAGAATGTTTCATATCCTATAACATGTAACAAACTCTATGATAATCATGATCCAAGAAAACTAGATTTTGATAATGATTTTGAAGAATTTAAGCAACAAGTAGCTGATTTGCAGGTGAGCATGCTTTAAAAAAGTTGATAATGTATAACATGTTAATGTTTTAAAGAATTTTTCATATCCTATAACATGTCTATGTATGTAATAATTGGAAATGATGATTGTTTCAACCTTTCTGTAACTGGTGTTTCAAGATATCTTAGTTAAGATGTATTTATATAATCTAAACTCAACACAGCAATGTGAACTCAATAGATTGCTAGTGGAGTTTTCTAGTGTGTTTCTGGGACCAGAATAAAAGTGGCATGCCATTGCATAGAAGCTAGTGATATGTATCCAATAAAATAATCACCATACAGACTTTGTTGGAGCACAAGGAATGTTGCCAGTGCTGAGGTAGAGCAGATATTGAAGGATGGAGTAATAGAATGTTCAGAGAGAGTATCATCTCCAGTAGGGATAGTTAGGAAGATAGGGATGTCAAGGTTCTATGTGGATCTCAGGGAGGTGAACACAGTCACATGCTTCAGTGCCCTTTCATTTACTGCAGATGGTTTAATATCTGGATATACTGAACGTTACATACGTATGATACACATTTCAGATGTTGTGACTAAATATTTCAGTAGCCAAAGCATGTCTTAGTTGACTAACACATGCAAGTATGAAGTTATTTTAATATTATTTGGTCTGTGTAATGTGTCAAACACTTACAAGAGGCTGATAGCGTTTACTATAAAAGAACTGCAATGGGAGAGATGTCTCACCTATTTGGATGACATTCTGATATTAGGCTTCCTAGTTCTGGCTGCTACTGAGAGCTTGGGGATGTTGTTTCAGCAGATAAAGAAGTCGGGCTTGAAATTTAAGATAGGAAAGTGTGTGCTTATGCATGCTAGAGTGTAGTTTCTCTTTCACAATGTAGATGGGGAAGAAGTGCCTACTTATTCAGCAAAAAACACTGTACATATTGGCTCCAGCCTATGGTCAAATGAGAACTAAATATACAGCTTTGTAGGACTTGTGTCATAATATCAAGAGTTTTTGGCTTTCAAAATGCTAGAATATACCTTTCAGCTTTACTGAGCAATTGTGTAATAAGTTTGAATACTTATGAACTCAAAAATATAGAGTAGGTAAAAGAGGTAACATCTAAAGAGATTAAAACTAAAATTATGTAAAATAACATGTATTCTAAAAGGGACAAAATGTATACATACACCTCAAAATTTATTTTGGATAACTTTTCAAAATGAATATACAAATGACAGATGACTAGTAACCAATTGATAATTGTATACTATATTACTTTTACATGTTATCAAATGCAATCTCTACCCAGTTTTTTCTGTCATGTCATTACACAACTGAACATGAGAAAGTACACTCTTCCTCCCCAAAAAATGTTAGGTATTTCAAGAGTTTATAAATTATATGTAAAAAACAAATAATTAAACAAATTAATAATTAACTAGCAGAGACCCGCAAAACATTTCCGACCAAATTAGAATCTTTATTGTAACAGAACTTTTTTAAATATGACATTTCTAGCACAATACAAACGAATTGTAATCATAGACAATGAAATGTGTAAATGCACTTGTATGTAGGCCATACTTTATAAAACTTTAACCTATGTTAGGCCTAAGTTCGATAAAGAGATAAATTAACACTGTAACCAATGTACATTTTTTTTACTTTAGTTTAGTTAGCACTAAACTTTACTGTACTTAATACTATCGATAAATAAACTTATAATGCTATTCTACGACCTAACATCAAACCTTTTTTAAAAATTTTGATAAGTTTTTAATATTCTGTTGTACAAAATGGTTTGTAAAGTATATTTACATTCCCCTTTTGTTGTTACATCTTGTTTCATACAGCAATTGTAGTGACTTGATCACTTAGCTTTGCAGCTCTCTGCCACATGCAGACTGTTTGTTGTTGAGTGAATAATGTGCATGTGCGGTTTTTCTTGTGGAAACATTCTAACTATGCATGCTTATGCAGCAGTCGTACATACAAACAAGCAGAATAATAGTATAGATGTGTCCACCATAAGTATTTATCACTGCCTATCACAGTGTCTATATACTTTTATATATTGATTTGTGACAGGTGATTCCATTTCTTCATAAGGCACTTTTTAAGTTATGCAAAGTCACATGCTGGGTAGAGGATGCCAAAAAAAAGAATGCTGAAGGGAATTTTTATATGCTTAATTGGGGTTTTTGTCTTAAAATCAAATGGGTCATTCCATGTAGACAGTCGTCTCCCTCTGAAAGAACTTTTCCAAAACCCAAGTTGTATAGGTTGATGTTTTCATTCACAAAGATGAAATAATTATTTATGGTACCAATGTATGATTTCATATAAACATTCAGGGTCTCATCTGTATACCTCACAACTGTCAAAGAGCTGTATCTGAACAAACAAAGGTCAGTCTTGGCAATGAAACTGGTCCTTCCCCAGACCATGATAGACCCACTGTTATAGCAAGCATGTTAATTTTATGTTGCTGCTATGATACTGCTTTCAAGGCTGTCTCTACTGTCTGGCACAGGGGTCTGTGAAGTTAAAACCTGGGCTATCCATGAATTGTTCAAGCCAGTTGCTCTTGACTTCATTCTTGATATTCTTGCTTGTGACGCTGGGTAACAATATTCTAAGTAATGCAGTCAAAACATGAGCTTATGTGAAGTTATAAATGATCTCATCAAACCTTACTTCAGGAATCATCTTTTCTTGATTTTATTGCCCATACTTGGTTACCTCTATGCCATTTCTTTACATCTTCAGAAATTCTTTGTCACTTCCAAGCATAGGAAACAACACTTTGGTTCACTCATAAGGCGGTAACAATACAATGTTGAGACATTTTGTTTTGTAATACATACTGAGGCCACTTAAAAATTACTTCTGTTTTCAATTCCTTCTGATACATATCTGAGCAATAATGATACAAAACACAAGTGTTGGAACATAAAGCTAGAGGCAATGCAAAAATAAACCATGGCATAAAGCATCCAATTCTGCAGAAATCCCTATAATGGTGGAATTTTTAATTCACGTGAGTTACATTAGAAACATTTAAATTAATGAACAGGAGTGAAAACTATTCATGTATTACTTGAATCTATTGCCTACTGTTTCCTGTGGCCGTCATAGTGTTGTGTATTCAGGTAAACAGAACTTCACTAGATAACTCTGCTAAACAGGAGATTTGAACAAGATATCAGTTATGGAATATTGATTATACTCTTACTATCTAAGTTAATAATAAACAAAATAATAAAACTGGGAAAATGTGATACACCAGATAAGAAGTCTTTATTATATGCAAAACACAAACACAATGTGAGTACTTGCTGTTTTCTCATGAATTTATATATTATATTCAAAACTGTGTGTGTACTGTTGCTTCTTGATATTCTCATCTTAATAAAATCCATCAAATTGACTCATAGAAGGGTTTTTAACTTCAAAGAAACCTCATTTATAAAAATCAACTGGTGCTGCCATGTGACAAGTTCTTCTCATTATGCATACATGAATTTATAACCTCTAGGTAACACCATAACAGCCCATTGAAGGTCATTGCTTTTAAACTCCTCACCCAAGGTTGCATCAAGTTTATATTTCTTATGACAGTTAGGCTACTGTCTGTGAATTGAATTTCATGCACTTCCAGTAATTTCACCTACTCATGCATTTTGATTTGATCCAATCAAAATATCTCCCACAAGTTTTAATGAAAACTACATGTAAAAGTATATTTTCTCTCGGAAATAGTACTATACAACTCAGAAAACCACAGGTAAAGCTGTGTTCTCTCTCTCGAAAATAGCATGAGTCTCATTATACTCTTATTCTTTCATGAACATCTGCAGCCTGCTCAACATTTTATTGTCAAAATAACATTCTTTCACAAGTATTAATGAAAATAACTTGAATTTTCAAATAATATCTCACAGGTCAGTAATCACAGTTAATCTCATGTCATAAAGTCTTAGCATAAAGATCAAATCCTCTGTTTCCATTTACAAGTGGCTTAATAATTGTGTTTATTATGCAGTTGATTCATTTATGTTATATAAAACTCATGAGTGACTTTGTGTAACATTACTGCATATTTATGGGATCACAAACATATTTATTTATATGTGTATTGCCATTAATTATATATGTTGTTACTATAGTATATGTCCATATACACTTAGACAAAATATAACTCCCTTATAACATGTGGAAAACTTATTCCTTTTGTAGGTGTACTAACAACAAGAATCAAGCAAAGGTCACATAGCCCTTTTAACTGTGTTTTCAAACTGAACTATCAGCTTCAGTTGTGCAAATTGTCAATACATTTGGCATTATATCTACTAGTATCATCCATCCTAAACTGTGTTAATCAAGCATCATCCAATATCCTATGTTGTTAAATTATTCTCGACAACCTAGAGAGTAATGGTTACAAAGCCCTTTCAGTCAACAAACCATCTTAACTTTAGATAATTGAATGATGATCATATAAAGTAGCAAGTATGCTATGCCTTAAAACTATCTTATATCTCAGAAAGCAGACATCACACCAATTTTTTTTTTACTGTGTTTTAGAATTCCTAGCTATTATCTCCACTTGTACAAACTTGGAATGCACTAGGTATCCTACCTACAAGCACCAGATCTTACCTTTATGGTAATCAAGTGGAAATCACACAGTTCTTTCTCATACATGATTGAGCAATAATGATGTTGTAAAGAACTGATTCATTAGGTCACAAGTTGTGGTCTAGTCCAGCTGCATTTTAGAGGCTTCTATGCTGTTGGAATATACTAAAACCACCCCAATCCTCACTTTGGTATCTTATCATAGCA